TCTCATTTCATTTTTAACTTTTCATCAATCACAAAGGATTCCATGTTATCTCAACATATTTCATCATATCACATAACATACTAGCATGATCTCTACCAACTGAACCTTCAAATCACCCTGACACGAAACTATAGACTCATCTTAGATTAATGTACACTCTCATTAGTCTTGAGCTCACCTACAGTGATAGAATCACCCAGCCAAAAATGTTCTAATGCACAATATGGACTATGGTTTCCCCCAATACACACAATAGAGCATTGTTGACTCTAACACCATATCACAAGGAAACTAAGGAGTCTCTTATCTCCAACATCGTACCTCAATAGGCACTAAGGAGATCTTCTCCAACACCATGCCTTTCAAGGCATTAAGGAGAATTGTTTCCAACACTGTACCCTAAAAAGGTACTAAGGAAACCTTGCCATACGGTCTTTATCCTCTCTTACACTCAGGTGAACTCCCACCCTATGATCATGCTTTTTTGAATCATTTAAAGTTCCTATTTACCATTTCACACTTTCTTGCACATAATATATATAAATAACACTTTACATTACAAAACACACATTTCAATGCTCATTTCAACCAAAATTCATTTCACACAAAAATTACTCAATCCTATAAAACATGCTTAGCTTAAAATCATTTCATGCACTACATAGCATACTAACATACAATTAAAATAAACAGTCAAACAAAGGAAGTTATTCGGTTACCTCAACTCTTCTGTCACTAGAAAGGTTACCCATGAATTTTAACTATCAAACAAGCTTATCTTAAGCTTCCTTTCTCTACTCGCGTATCCAATATGCCAATCTAAACACATTTGATACATTTTAGTCATTTGGTCCATTTTGACCAAAAACTTATTTTTACCACTTAAGGCTATATTCATCTATAAACTCTTTTCCATTTATCCATTCTAAGTCTATGCTACCTAATTACTACTTTACATCACTTTAACAGGTCTTATTTCACTCATATCAGATTTTTGCCCTAACTTTCTCTCTCTAAAGGCTAAAATTAAGCCTATCAGTTCAAAACTCTACCATTCAGCTCTAAACTAGTCACAAAGCTCTAATTTAACTTTCAAGAACCTTTTTATTACTATTGGAAAATAATCAAACCCCTTAAATTCCACTGATTCAATTTCCCTATAACTCATTTTTAGATAAATTTGTGTAAAATTGAAGGTAAAAGTTATATATAGCTTACCTGACAAGTTGCTGATCTGAATCACCTTCCACCGCTCCAAAATAACTTGACTTAACTCCTTAGCCCTTCTCCTCTCTCCATCTCATATGTTTCTCAATTTTACTCCTCTAAAATTTCACGACATATAAAGTGATTTTCTGATCCATACACTACGACGCATGCAACACAAGCCACGGCACATGGCATAGTGAGATTTATTCTCACCACGCGCACTTGCTTCGACCCAAAACGCACTCCTATCACCCATATCTACTCATACAACACACAAACAAGTCAAAATACCAATTAATCATCCGAATCTCTAATCCCACACTAATTTCCACTTCACCTTCAATTAACCTCTAAACTTAGGATTAAAAAATTATGAATGTTACACAATACCTTTTTTAAGTCAAAATGGGACTTGCTATTTTGATTCTTATGAGGTACTCTTTAGTTCACAAGGTATAGGTGAAAGAAAAGAAATATTCTCTTTGATCCTTATTATAAGGCATTCTTAACCTTTTCACTCATCTTAAGAAAAGTTATTTTTTTCTTAATATCATAAAAAAATCATATATACTTTCATTTTTACCCTTTGTTTTAGATAATGATATAACTATATAAAATACTATCATGCTAATTAAGAAAGGGTAAAATTAAAAAAAAGTAGTTTAATTATTGCAAAGTGTCCTATATTTTGGACCAAGAATTACTTTTAGAATGAGTCCCATAAATAGGACTAGAGGGAGTATTGTATTCCTAAACAAATGTAGCATTCCCATAAATAATGTTGATGTTGCTCGAATGTGTTCTAGCATGTGTTACACTTTTACACATAAACTTTTTCTAATAGCATTGGACACTTCATACTAATAAATGGGCAATTTTTTTTCTTGAACCATTTTTTCAAGGAGCCAAAAACCTCTCATGTTAGTCAGTCATTAACTTTATCATTTTTTTCTAACATGTGGCATGCACGTGAAGCTCATGTGCAATGACAAATGAAGCTTGACCATGTCTTTTAATGTTAATTTGTTCTTGAATTCTTTTGCTAGAAGTACCAGGCACTTAAGGGTTTTTGGGAGTATTGGACAGCCTAAAATCTTGTTAAATAAAATTTAATAAATATTTAATAATTTAGATATTATTATTTATAAATATTAATCTAAAATTTATAAATTATTTTTTAAATATTAACAATTTAAATTAGTTTTCCAAAATTTTATAGATGACTTGTCATTTTTTATATATCGATCATATTTTTAATATTAATTAAGTTCCTTAATCTTTTGGGCCCTTCTCTGTAATTTTTTTAATCAACAAACGGTCTTCTTCTGAAATATTGCATTTTTGTGGGCGAGATCTTTGAAATAAGCATTTTTGTTGGCATGTTAGTCCTAATCTATGATGCTTCTAATTTTAACCCTAACATTATGCATATAAAGAGTATTAAATGTGGATGTTGCAATATTTTAGAGAAAGATTATTATTTGACAAAAAATTACAGAGCATGGCTTAAAAATTTAAGGAACTTAATCATTATAAAAAATATGATGGATATATTAAAATTACAAGGCATCTATAAATTTTTAAACAACTAGCTTGATTTGTTAATATTTTAAAAAAATTATAAATTTTGAATGGATATTTATAAATAATAATATTTAAATTATTAAATACAAAAATATTTAATATTTAGCAATATTTGTTAAATTTTATTTTAACAAAATATCAGAGTACCCAACGCTTCTAGATAAAGACTTTAAAGTACCCAACACTTCTGGAAAGAGTTTAGAGACAGTTAGCACCAAATGACATGATTAAAGTCCTATCTATCACTGCATGTAGGTGCACATGCCATGTTAGTAAAAAAACAAATTAACGACTAACTAATAGAAAGAGTATTTGCTCAAAAAAAAAATAATAGGAGTATTTTGCTTCTTGTAAAAATAGTTCAAAAGAAAAATTACTTTACTTATCAATATGGGGTGCCCAATGCTCATTAAAAAAAAAAATCAGAGATAAAAATACACCATAATCCTTAAACTTATTTAATCTTCTTTTAAATTTTGGAATGTTGCACCTTAAATGAAGAGTTCTGTAATATCCTTATCCCAATATAAGGCAAGTTAATGTGATGATCATCCTATAAGTGGCAGCATCTTATGGGAATTTTATTGAATATTAAAAAGATATATTAGCGAACACTATGGGTGTTATTTAGCAATAGTTGTCAATTATACTAATGATAATAAATTAAAATGACATGTTTAATATATATGAATGGTTTCAGCTATTAATAGGTAGCTATATCAAATTGAGATTTGTTTAAATGATTTTGCATAACTTAGATATATGATTATTGTCATTGAGGAACTGAATTATTCATTTTCTCATTGGCTTCTCATGCAAGATAAATGAGAATCGATTGAAGCACCTATTGTCTAGATCGAATGAGCAAAATGAAATTAGTTTGTCGGAAATGAAGTAAATTTTAACATGCAAATTTATTCTTTAGTGTGTTTTAATAAGAGAATGATTACCTATTGGCATATATTACATCCCTCTCAGTCCAAACGTAAACTTATCAGTAACAAATCAAGAATTTAGTTATTATCATGTTTATTGCTTATTAAATAAATCACAATGATTATTATATTATATTTGTATATGTCAATTGCATTATAATTATTCATATAGATTTTAAAAAATTCATGTTTTCTGCATTTTTATATAATGTAAAACAACTCTGAAAAAATAAAAATTAAAAACAATACTTCAAAAGTGCTACATATAAAAATGCGCCCATGCAAGCCACATGGAGTGGTTGCTACTTTAAATAATAAACATACAAAATTCAAGTGACTAAGAATCAGACATTCCCCCTCGTCAAATTCCTCTTTGCATTTATGTCCTTGTTACTCTCCACAGTCCACACTGTTCCAAAATTATTTTCTTTAATTGCTTGTTATTTTGACTTGAAAATTTATTTTTACAAGTTTTCATGCTCTAGTTATACAGTTTCATTCACGAAGAAATAAAAAAAAAATTTTTACATTATGGTAGTTAACAAATTGGTATATTAATGTTGGCCTCTGATGAAAAAAAACCGACTAAACAACGTGAGTAATTAAGATTCTTTACCTTCTACCAAAAAAAAAAACCAAAGAAAGAAAGATTCTTTACCACAATTTTTTAAAAATATGAATAATATTTCAGGACCTAAAATACAATAATAATTCAGGAGACAAATACCATAAATATTAACGGGAGAATTTTAATTGAGTGATGAAAGTAGTTGTACAATGCAGATGCAATGTTGAGCTGCAATTACAACTGAGCTAAATGAGCTTTAATACCATGAATTTGAGCTATGTTAAATACGACAAAGTTGCTTTCTACCAACTTACCCTCAGTTATTTGTATCTTTATTTGAAGTTAATATATATTTTCTTTATACCAAAAAAACATGACAAAGTTGCAGGCTTGATGCCATATATGACAATAATGAAAATGGGATAACCAATTTTTTAAAAAAAATTCACATCAATAAAGTCCTCATTTTTATAAATAAAATATTTACCGTTAATCCCAATTACCAATTCACTTCATGATGAATAAAATAAATTTACACAAGAATCTAAGTTAATAAATAAAAAAGGTAAAATGAAAAAAAATTCTTACACATTATACTGTTACTTGCATTTTGAACCAAAATTAGTGAAGGAAAAGTGCTTATATCTTATATTGAAAGTAGTATGATTTAAAAATCTAAGCTAAGCTAGTTGCTTGTAAAGCAATTGTGGAAAAGCAGTGCTGTTCAAGGCACAAGATTCACTTTTCTTTAATTTAAAGGAGAAAGTACACTAAATAAATCAGTTCCCAAGCGCACAAGCAACGAGCTTGAACTACAAAAAAGAACTGAACTGTAATATCAACTTTACATGAACAAAAAGTATAAATGCTTTACATCTTCCTACCTTCGCTTGTCAAAAAAACAAAGCGCTACCATCGTTGCATTCCAACTGCTTAGGTACATGATTCCAAAAGGATCTGCAAATCAACAGCTTAAGCTTGAATCAATAGTCTACGACTAAATCAAAGACGTGCTTGAAACCAGAAAGGAAATCCCAATTAAGACATCCAATGGGTCTTCTGTTCCCTATTGGGTGTCTAAGAATGAAATAATACTAAAGAAACATCAGAAAGGAATATTCGGATAACAAAAATATGAGATATATATTAGTTGCTTGGAAATTTAGATTTCTTTTTTTTTTAACAAGAAATGTAGGACTTCTAATCAATTGATGATGTTCTGATAAAATAAGGACTATTTAGCCAACAAGATAAATATTTGAGGACGTTTGAGTTTTTCTCCCACTCCTTTCTACTTTCAGCAGCTCACCTTATCCCAGAAAGTGAGCAGCAACATTCTCTCAACGCGTTCAACTCTCTTTTTTCTTGGTGAAGCAATTTGAACTCCTTTTTTTAAAAAAGAAATAATTTGATTCTTTGAATGGAAAACCAAGGAATTAATCCAAAAATGCATAAACGAAAGCTAAATATAAGCAATTCAGACTAAAAAGCCATTTGCATAAAGAGATTCTCAGAGATTCTCAACAAGTAACTAATGTCAAAGATTTCAGATATGATAGCAATAATATAGATTAAATCAGTTTACCACCTCTTTCGTTCAGCACCTTTATCATTCTAGCGTTTGCAATCACCAACTACAGATAAAACTGTTTCCTTGACATTACCTATAGTCTGCAGATGGGAGAACCAAAAAAAAAAAAAACAAAAAAGAAAAGAAAAAGAAAACAAACAAGCAAACAAAGAAAGGAAAATCAGTACTGGATGGAATTTAATCAAGCAGAATATGTTTCGATATGGCAGGGTTCGTGATGTACAAGGCTTGAATTGTTTGCCCATCTTTTGATCGAGGATGCAGCATGCCTGAGGTGAGAGCAGTGTGCGGAATCAAAAGTCAAATGATAAGTTGAATTTTCAGTGGCTTCGGCAACCCAGATATGGTTTGTGTGGTCCTTTTCTTTTCTAATGAGGTTACAGAAGCCAACCTGCATATAATGAGTAACAGGATTTATCCATCTTAGGAAGTAATTCAATTTACCATGAGACAAATTTCATGAACACTAAAATAGTAAAGATATATGGGTAGCGTGGAATGTTCAAACCTAGTACACCAAAACAGATAATAATCACAATAACAAATAATATCCGTTACTTACTGTAGATCCAGCAAGGTTATAGTTGATTGGCGGAGTCAAGTCATAATCTGTGGACCGTGAGCAAAAGCAGATGGCTAGCAAATTGATTGTCTTTCCAAATTTTACATTAGACTTGGATCCATCAATTGCAAAAACCCATTGTGTCTTTCGACTTCCAGATGTATAAACCTCTCCCACATGCACAATATAGGCAGCAGTGTCGAACTCACTGTATGAAATAAGTATATTTCTTATCGTTATGGCTGTAAGCAGAAAGATATATATATATATATATATAATATTGAGATGACATGTAACCTAGAAAGAGGGATGTCACTCAAACTTGACAGTGAGATCAATTTGCGACAGCAGAAAAAAGGCCTACAACAGAAGGGGGGGGGGAACCTGTAAGCTGGATTTATGAAGTCAATATATCTAGATAAAAACAAATTAAGAAATTTTCTTTCCTATCATTTTTATTGGAATCACCTACTTAAAACGTTCCCTGGCACTTGAAGTCAAAGGCAGCCATTTGGTAGAAGATCCTCTTGCCTGTAAATGGAGGACATCTGAATCAGAACGTGATGGTGTAAGACCTGCAACTAAATATGCTTGACCCTCCACCAGCTCCTGTCGCTGTCACATTGGTTGCACATAGAAACTAGTGAGAAATCTTGCTGACATCCACAATTAACATGCATCGTAAGATCATAGAAGAAATGAGAAAAAACATATGATGCTAACCGAGAGACCCATGAGGAATAAATTCACAAAGCCAGAACGAATAAAGATGCTGAAAAATGTAAATACAAGGCAATGATATTATTAAAAAGTGGCCCACCTGATTCTCTGTTGGGTTCCAGATTGTTATTAAGCCTTCTCTAGGCATTTCATTTCTACTTTTTTGTGTTAAAGCAACTACCCTCACTCTCATAAACTGGGTGACATCTCTTTTACCCAAGCCAGCATCTTTCAAAGCTTTCTCAACTGATTTCTCCATGTTTGATTGACTGGTTGCCTGAAGACCAACTATAAGTAGTCAACATTTATTTCCACACAAAGACTTCTCGTAAAGCGGGAACATAAACCCACCTTTAGTTTTGCTTTGTAAGCGACAAAAGAATTAAGTTGCTCAGGACTCATATCAGCCATTAGGAATTCAGGATCTTCAGCTGTCTCAAGCATGTTATAAATCTTGGCTCCTTCGCTACCATCATCATAAAAATGAAAACTCATTGTTTCTTCCTGAAGGTTGGAAGTGATGCCTTCTATAACAGCGGTGCATCTACAGCCATGTTGGGGATGAAAAATAGCATGAAGAAATAAAATTCACATACAAGCATGCACAAATGATAATGATATAACCTGCTGAAAAAGCATATAAATATAGCAAAAAAAAAAAAGAACATAATAAAGGGGAAATCCTGAGGCTTTTAATATTGATAACAAGAAACCCAATCAGTGTTACAAGGAAGCCTCACGTTCTGGCCAAAATCCTATTCACCCAGTACAATCTCGCAGCAATCACCACAATCAAAAACAAATAACACTGAAACAGAAATAGCACTTGACACAGGCATTCAAGAGGCCAAAGCTCTCCTCACAGCACTCATTTTACAAAATGTTCCATAAGCCCTTCACACGTGGCAGAGAAGCTCCTAAAATCCATCAAGTGACACTCACACTCCAACATAGACTAGACCCTTAAGCAGCTCTAAAACATCATTAGACCAGCACTTACTTTTCCTTATAGCCAGGATCCGAAAGTAAATCACCTAAACCAGTAGTACTTGCTTCTTCTGTCCTCTTGGTATTCCTTGATTTTCTCCCATATGTCTTGGCAAATTCACCAGGTTTATCATATAATTAACTGTTTTTTTTTTTTTTGGCTTCTTAAATGCATATGCAATCCATTTGACAATTCCTTGTTTCTTCATGTACTTGAGATTTTAAAGGCAACATATACTTCACTTATTAGAGAGAAAAAAGCTGAGTCTAGTCTAGTCCTCAATATTATGTTAAGCTGCCATGTTATTATAATTATCCTCAGTCATGGCATCAACATTATAGATAATAAATTACTAAGGGTGTACAAAAACGAAACCAAATCAATGAAAACTTATTAAAATAAGGTCCAGTTTGGTTTTCTTTTATAAAACCAATTAGGTTCGATTCAGATTTTATTTTGCAAGCTTGGACCTAACCCGAACATGAATTAGACCTGTTTGAAATTTTTAATATATTTTTTGATACATTATATTTATTTTTGGGTTAGGTTTACTCTTTATTTTATGATATATTATATTTTATGACATCATATTTATTTCTCAATTATCTCATCCGTATCATTAATATTTTGGTCCAAGAAATTTGTACCCTTACTACTTGATAGTAATTTTGTACACAACACTCGAATATCAAAACAATTAACTAACTCAATAATTAAAGCATTATTTATTATTTATTTGACATTAACTCACTTTAATTTTATAATAACACATTATTAAATCAAACATCAACCATTTTTCTTGATTTAGCATTAAATTTTAAAAATACCATGGAAAGGTGTAAAAATTATCATTTCAACATGACCCAAACCAAACCGATCCAAACTAACTTAAAATGAACCAAACTAACCTCATGACAAAACTGATCAAGCTTCTATTATGGTTGAACAGGATTGGTTTGGTGTGGTTTTTTCCCAAAACCAAATCAAACAAAGCCTATGAACACCCTTACATAAGCCTTTCACCCAAAAAAAAAAAACCCCACCTAAGCTCCCAGTACAATGAAGATGGTACAATTGAAAATTAACATGGAACTGTAATCATATATACATGTCAATTTCCAAACAATTGCAAAAAAAAAAAAAAAGATAAAAGCATGAGTAAAATTCAACCCCATGAAAAAAATTAAATCACAAGATGATAAAAGGACAGAGTTTAGGTCAAGAGTTATTGTGGCTTGGTGGCCTCATAACTTTTTGATGAGCCAAGAGGTCATGGGTTAAAGCTCCGACCACCTTGACGATTTAATGGGTCACCACTGCCGAATGTCACTAGGCTAGTCTTTTGACCCGCACAACACTTAGACATTCTTCACTGAAAAAGTAAGCCTGGTTTGTAGAAAAGAAAGATGCTTGGCTAAGTTAAAGAAAAGGAAAAGCTTGAGAATAAAGGATAGTTGAGAGAGCTTGGGGAATGTAAGAGTTGTATTGTTTGAGAACTCAATGATGGTTACAAATGAGGAAGGAGGTGGTATTTATAGGCCTCCCCTTGAATCTAGAAAATTTCCCCTTCCCCAATGAACGGCAAAAATTAAATTGATCCTATAGCTATCATTGATCTTCTAAATTTCTCTCCTACATATTTACAACAAATATCTAGATATTTAAATGAAAATATTTAGAGACTATTAAAATATTGAGGCTAGAGTTGTATAGATTTTTCTAGAATGTTCTTGCACACTCTAGCTCTCTTAAGGTTAATCGAGAGCCTTCTGGAAAGTTTTGGAGCATTCCAATCCATTTTAGCCTTGCAAAAAATCACGAATCATGACATTCTCCCCCACTTAATTTCGCTACGCCCTCATCGCACCTTCCTCCTTGTAGCATCGGATTTGGTCAATGAACTGCCAAAGGAGGTCTTCACGTTCCCAACTTGCTTCAGAGTCTGCTTGACCCTTCTACTTGACTAAGTACTCAGTGAAGTTAGGAACTCCTCTTTCTGATCACCATGTCAGCGAGGATCTCCTCTATCTCCTTGTCGTACGTGATGATAACTGTTGTTGGTGCTCTCTTGAAGATACCTCAAGATGGATCTTATTCATCTCCACAGTATTTCTTCAAGAGACTAACATGAATGACAGGATGAATCTTGAGCTTGGGAAGGAGTTGTACCTGATATGCAACCTTTCCCACACGTTTGACTATGGGAAAGGGGCCCTCATACCTCCTGACCAAGCCTTTGTGGACTTTGCATAGTGACTTAAATTGTTTTGGCAATAACTTCATGAACAAGTCACCAACTTGAAACTCGGTGGAGTGCCACGTCTTATCTACCTACTTCTTCATCCTATGGGAGACTTTATCTAGCCTTGCACAAGTGATGTCTGCTTCTTGCCACTCTTTGACAAATTTATATGTAGTTGGATTGTCCCTTATATGGTGCGGCAAGTTCATTGGGGGTTAGAGGTTGTTACCTAATAACTATCTCAAAGGAGCTCTTACCTGTTGACTCACTTCATTGCAAGTTGTAAGAGAATTGAGCCACATCAAACAACTTGACCCAATCTTGTTCAAGAGCTCTCACATAATGTCAAAGGTAGAGCTCCAACAAAGCGTTTTTCTATCACTCTAAGGATGAAAGCTTGTTGAGAAGTTCAAGTCTGTCCTTAAGAGCTTGAAAAGTTCTCTCCAAAATTTTTCAATGAATCGGGGATCTCGATCACTGATGATGCTTTGAGGAATCCCCCATAACTTTGCAACATGCCTAAAAAACAAGCATGCTGCTTCATCAACTTTGCAATCTACAGGGGATGGTATGAAGGTAGCATATTTGCTATATCAATCAGCCACCATGATACTGCCATATACTTCAGACTTAGGGAGAGCAATTATGAAGTCCATTGATACACTTTCCTATGGTCTTCCAACCACTAACAGAGGGTCAAGTAAGCCAGCTGGATGTTATTATTTAACTTTATCTTGCTGGCATACTAGGCAAGTCCTCACAAACGCTTCAACATCATCTTGCATACGTGACCAGTAAAAGTGATTTCGTACGAGAGCAAGTGTTTGTGCCATACCTAGATGGCCAGCCCACTTCAAATCATGACACTCCTTAAAAACATCTCTCTAAAGGTTGCCCCATTTTGGAACAGACTTGGTTCCCAAGGGTGTAGAGTTTCTCATCCTTCACCCAAAACCTTCAAGTTTTACCTTCATTAGCAAGCTTCATCAAGTCACTTATAGCTGAACCTTGAAACATACATTCTTTGATTTTGTCAAGAAAATCATTCTAGAGTATGTTTGCTATGAGAGTAGCTAACTTGGCTTTCCTGCTCAATGCATTTGCCACCACATTTACTTTGCTTGGCTTGTACTCCAACCGCTAGTCAAACTCAACAAGAAAATCTTGCCAACAAGCTTGCTTTGGGCTGAGTTTCTTCTGTGTCTGGAAGTAGCTCATAGCAACGTTGTTTGTCATTATAGTGAACTTTGAAGTAGTGACGCCAAGTCTGAAGACAATGAATGATGGCAGACATTTCTTTTTCTTGTACTGTGTAGCACCTTTCTAGGTCATTTAACTTGCGACTCTCATACGCAATAGGGTGTCTTTCTTGTATCAACACACCCCTTATTGCAAAGTCTAAAGCATCGGCGTGTAATTCAAATGGCTTGTAGTCAAGCAAGGACATGACAAGCTCTTGCGCAACCATCTGCTTTAGCTTTTCAAAAGCAACTTGGGAATCTTGTGACCATTGCCAAGATCGATTCTTCTTGAGTAAATCTGTTAATGGAGCAACAATAGTTGAATATCCCTTGATGAACTGACGATAGTAGTTGACAAAACGAAAAAATGATCTTAGCTCTAGGACCTTAGTGGGAGGCTTTCATTCTTGAATTGCTCAAACCTTAGCTAACTCCATCATAAGCTTCCCATCCTTGATCTTATACCTAAAGAAGTCCAGCTCTTGTTTGGCAAAGAACACTTTTCTAACTTAATGTATAGCTCATTATCAAAGAGTACCCGGAATACATTCTTTAAATGTTGAGCATGTTCCTCAAGAGGATTGTTGTACACCACGATATCATCCAAGTACACAACCACAAACTAGTCCAAGTAAGAGTAGAACAATTTAGTCATGAGCATGCAGAACGTTACTGGGGCATTCATCAGTCCAAAGGGCATGATGAGGAATTCGAATGCTCCATATCTTGTTACGCAGGTTGTCTTTGGTTCATCACCTACAGCAATGCATACTTGATAGTACCCGGATTGTAGATCAAGCTTAAAGAAGTACCTAGCTTTTCCAAACTGATCAAACAAGTTGGTGATCAAAGGTATCAGGTACTTGTTCTTAATTGTAATCTTGTTTCAAGGCCCTGTAGTCAATGCACATTAGTAGCGATCCATCCTTCTTCTGGAAGAGAACTAGAGCACCATATGGGGCCTTAGATGGTTGGATATATCCTGAATTGAGAAGATCTTGGAGTTGTCTCCTTAACTCAGCAAGTTTTAAAGGCGACATGATAAGGTGCCAAGGCAGGTGGTTTGGCACCAAGCTACAACTCAATTTGATGGTCTACATCTCTTTTAAAAGGTAGTTTCTTTGGCAGCTCATCAAGCATAACATGTTTGTATTCCTATAGCACCTCTTAGATGCAAGGTGGCAAGGTTTATTGTGAGTTGGTTATGCTATCCTCTTCTTTAGCCAATGAATGTATAGTGGCCACATAGCCTTCTGAATTATTGAGACTTTTTTTGAATTGCAGGGCAGAAACCATAGGTTCGGATTTCTCCAAGACCTTCAAAGGGATCACCCTGAATCATGTTGGAATTGATGATTACCAGAGACTTGGCTTTGGGAATAGAGAAGGCATGTGCTTTGCAGAAGAAAGCAAGTCCCAGCACAACTTTAAAATCATCCACAACGACAATAGTGAAGTCTAGCATACCTTGTCAGTCCCCAATCTTCACCTTTACATTCTTGGCGATCCCAAGGACTTGTTTTGCTAGGGAGTTTACCACCTTGATGGTGCCTTGTTGAGTCGGACACCTATTCGCATGGCTTCTTCGACCTCCATGAAGCTGTGGGATGCTCTTGTATCAAGCATAGCAGAGGCAGACTTGCCTTCGATGGCAAGATCAATATAGAGTAGACCAAGGTCAAAGTACTTAATCTTCTTCTTTACTTGGAGAAAAGTGTCTAATCAAGGCACTCAAGTGTTGCAAGGAACCAAGGTCAGCTTGTGTTCCTTGTCTTGCCTTTCCCTCATCTCAAAAACTAAGGTGTTCATGGCCTTTCAATTGGAGCAGTCACAAGTTCAGTGTGGACCATCACATATTAAACATGACTTTGGCAGCTTTGAAGCATCACACTTAGTTGAGGATGGCTTATCTTGTTTAGAACTTCCACTAAAGGATTTACCACCATCCTTACAATCAAAACTCTTCTTTTGTCCTCCTTTGTCTCCCCCACTCCAACCAGAATTGGGCTTCTTACTCTTGGTAGAGTAGTCGATCAAGAACTCGACAATTGCAATAGTTTCATCTAGAATTTGCACCTTACATCTGTCGAGCTCTATTTGGCCCAATCTTTGAGCCCATCCATGAAGTAGAAATGAGTTTCCTTGTCAGACAGTTTCTCAATCTCGAACATGATGGTAGTAAACTTTTTGATGTAGTCAAGAATACTTCCAATTTGTCTCAACCTTTAGAGATTACCTCAAACCTCCATTTCAGCATTGTGTTTCAGCATTGTGGGGAACAAAGTATTTGCAAAGTTCTGGCTTGAACAGCTCCCAAGTATTGATTCTAATCAAGTCATCGGTCACTCCTATGGCCTCAAAGTACTGTTCTTGGTCAAAGAGAAAGTTCTCCACAACTGTTGCATTACAAGCCCCATTGTACATCGTTGATTTGGGAACCTTTAGACCCTGAGAAGTAGTGTTTGAAGTACTACCACTAATAGAGCTACCTGCGCGACAATTAGATTCCCATTCATGGTGAATCTCATTTGACAATATAGACCTCGCAACTTGTCCTTGACACACTTGCAAAGGTCAACAAGATCATGGGTAAGGGAACGAAGATCTTTCCTAAAGTCACAGCTAAGTTCTTTAATCATCAACTTTGCAGCACATGTGACCTCAGCATACTCTTGAATGAGATTGCTGAGTTGATCATCAAGTTCCCCCACAATAATCATCATATTCTCCATGAGTTTCCAAACTAGACACTCAAGGTTTAAGGGACTCACCTGCTAGAGCCTTGCTGCTGTTTTGCTTGAACTTGGGTTGAGCTTGCTCGCCTTGTATACAAGCTTGCTCGCCTTGCATACAAGCTTGCTCTTGCACTTCCATGACAACAACGTTTCCTTCCTCTGTTGCCATTGCACAATACCTTCCTTTAAGTACAATGGTAGAACCGTGTTCTGATACCAACTATCACAGGGCTAGTCTTTCAACCCGCGCGACACTTAGACACTCTTCACTAGAAGATGCTAAATAAGCCTAATTTGTAGAAAAGGAGGATGCTTGGCTAAGTTAAAGAAAAAGGAAAGCTTGAAAGCAAAAGATAGTTGAGAGAGCTTGAAAAATGTGAGAGTTGTATGACTTGAGAAGTCAAGAATGGTTACAAATGTGGAGGAAAGTAATATTTATAGGCCTCTTCTTGAATTTAGAAAATTCTCACCTCCTTAATGGACAATGAAAATTAAATTGATCTTACGGCTATCATTGATCTTTTATATTTCTCTCCTAGATTTACAGCAAATATCTAAATATTTACGTAAAAATATCTAGAGACAATATTAAAATATTGATGCTAGAGTTATGTAGATTTTTCTAAAATGTTCTTGCAGACTCTAGCTCTCTTATGGTTAATCAGGAGTCTTCTGGAAGATTCTAGAGCATTTCGGACCATCTTAGCCTAGCAAAAGATACGAATTGTGACACGAAGCTCTAAAAGCTGGCAGCAATGGTCTTGTGGCTATTGACGACAACCTTGCCACCAGTGAGAGGACTTTAGTGACCTCCAATGGTAGTCCAATAGTCGACGCTGGTGATAATGGAAGACGTAGGTTTAAAAACAAAACATCAAGAATAGCAAGGTCTTTTCACACGCAAATTTAATTTTGTTCAAGTCTCTTGATCTTGTTTGATCATTTTTCACAGATAATATGCTCCAGCAATCCTTAAATGAAAATTTTCCGTTAAATTGTCTTGTTCTTTTGAAATCGCTCTTATTCATGTAAGTTTCTTAAAATATATAAAAAAAACACAGAAATAATGTTTGGCCAATGTTTTTATCAACATCACAAATATTGAACCAAGCCTTAGCAAAAAGTCCATCGCCTACCAAATTGCCAAAGGGGACATATTTACAAGTTTATTCGTTGCCGGTACTGATGTTTAAAAAAGTAGCATCAAAATGATTAAACATTCAATTTAGTCAATGTAAGTTCTCAATTTCTTACTAATTAAAATGAAAAATATATATAATCAATCAAATTTGAAAACTATTAAACATTCCAAAATTATTTTGAAGACCCAAAAGAAAACAACAACATCAACAACAACAACAAGTCTTTATCCCACTAGGTGAGGTCGGCTACATGGATTGCAAGACGTCATTGTGCTCTATCATTTATCAAGCTTTTAGGAATATTATTAATTAAAAGATCACGTTTAAATATTGTTTAAATAAATACTAATTCATTGAAAAATAATTACAATTAAAACAAATCAATTCCATAGATTCATGAAACGTAAAGTACGGAAGGGCGTATTTCTAATATTAATAGATGTTAAAACTTAGGGTAATTTAAGTAATAAACTGTAGAATTGTAGGGGGAAATTAAACTTTTTTAGAACAAAAAGGCACAGAAATAGAAAAAATTATTATATATAACAGTACTATAACAAGATATACCAATTTATTTTTATATATGAACATTATCTATACAATGCACAATATTTTGAAAGGGAAAAATCAAATAAGTCTATGAGGCCCATAAAATAGGCAAATAATAATAAATGTACTTTTTTTTTGCCAAAAGCAAATAATAAATGTATAATAACTCAACAATATAACATACAGTAGTGCAAATTTTATTTTTTTAATAAAAAAAATGTTTACGTGAGTTTATTTCTGCTCACCGAGGCCGAGGCCGAGTTTATTTCTATATGTCAATTAATAGGAAGCATATTAATATTATGTATATGGATCTTGTCAACATAATTCTATGGCACGACTCCACCAAACCCCCAATTCCTTCGCAACACTTCACAACCTCAAAACATAAAATCATACTTCGGGAAAGGGGTATCTTTTCTACGGGACTTCCTAGCAAATCTCAGGCAAACATCCAACCAAGGATGAGATGATCTTTAGAAATTAAACAAGCCATTTAATCGAGAGAATTGGTCAAACTTTCACTTTTTGGGATTGCTTGAGATGAATGGATGTTTGGTGACTCCACAAAAAAGTTCCATCTTTCTGAGGTTCAGTATTATAAAAATATCAGGCGGAAATATTACTAGGAGCACTGTCATAACTAGAACAACTGGTCATAGATAATACCTGTGTTTCAGAGTTGCAAACATACTAGTAAAAAAAATGAACAAGGGCCCACATATCCTTACAGTACACAAATCTAATACTAGTAAGAGTCATATGTACATGCGAGACCTAAACTGGCATATCCATGCACCCTTGCTTCTCATGAATAAATAATACCAGGTAGATTAATATTATTGGAAGAGAACAATTTACCAGCAACCGTGAACAAAGTTACCTTTGGTTGTACAATTCCATCATGTTAGCCTCCATCTTCTCTGATCTTACAACAGTTTCTCCATTGCTTAACCTAACGGAGGAAGCAACTGTTACCTTGGTTCGCTATAAAATAAGACCGAGTTTTGAACAAAAGAAAATATAGACAATCATTTCAATTTAAAAAAAAAAAAAGCATAAGTAACTCAGAAGTTACCGTTCTTTGTATAGAAAAGGATACACACGGGTAATTCCAACCAAAGTTTGAGGGATTGGACCGCCATTGTCTTTTACGCATCTGAACGCTAGAGGTGGACCAGCATGCTTACCTGTTGTGTTAGAATTAAACGCATAAGATAGGCAAAAACAAATAGATGCTTTCCTGTAGATTGAAAAGATTGAAATCCACTTAAATACAGGACGCCTACACAGTCCTAACTTTTCTGCCCAATGTACTCTGTATGTTCCGTTCATATGCAGCACTAAACAAACTGATGTTGACACCTGAAATTAGAAGTTAAAATGATTAAGAACATCAAAGATTAAAAGAGAAATATATATGAACTTTTTCAATTATAATCACAAGTCTTGAAGAACCTCAAGTGGTGAAACTGGCCCTGTCCAGCCAGATAATCTAGCTCCCCAGATCTGTGCCAAAAAAAAAAAAAAAAGGCACTGACTGCAAATTTACGTGTCATGATCAGAGAAGGGAAAATAAATAATACATACCAAAATATTACCCGTAATTTCTGTCCCACAAATAATTTTCCAGCAGCAACCTTCTTTGACAATGGCGCATCCAAAATGGCAGTTATTGAATACCTGAAAAGAAAGCACATGTTACATGCCAAGGAACCTCATACATTTCAAGAAGAAAATCAAGAAATTGGGATTTCTTACCATCCATCAGTTAATTCAACTTTTATTGTCTCACTGCTCTCGGACCCCAGTCTCCTCTCACGAGGGGCCTCAATTTTCAGTCCTTGATGGGGGTGAATGGCCGAAATGCATAGAATCATCATTAAAGAACAAGATGCATCCCCTTCCAGAATTTTCTTAATCACAGACCGCTGGCCATGATTTACTTCTCTTTCATATCTGTATGCCAAGAGTTCTCAGTGGCTTTAAAGATCAAACAAACAAATTTTGCTATAGTAGTACTTACCTATACTTCAATTCCTCAAGCACATTTGATGTAGTTAAAAATTTTCCAGCAGATCCACCCGGGTAGCATCTCTCGTAACATGCCAGTTTCCAGACAATCCATTTGTAATGATTTGTGACCCAGCTAGAGTGATGAAGAACAAAGATGCACAATTATGCTAGAAAAGGACTAGAGTCTAACTGATGAACTTTGAACCCAGGATAACGTTAAGAGTCTTTTAATTTAACGTCAGGTAGGATACAAATGAAAATACGAAATTGCAAATAATTTTCTCTCATCCCTCAACTAGCTAATTGATAAACCTTATATAGACCACAGAATCATATTGAAAGGTAATTACTTGATAAATTCCACAGATACCAAAAGCCAAAAATTTAGAACAGAAGAAATGTACTCTTTGGAAGCATAATCTGTGGAAGCTCCACTCTGAGTCAATATATGGAAGAAAGCTTCTGACCCCATAGTGTTGACACCAGAACCATCATCAAGCATATACTTTTCTGCATTACCTGATGTGACCTGTCTTGACTGGTTGGAAAAATGCTCCAACTGAATTAATTGTGGTGCACATATCAATGTCAATGCAAGGGAAAGAAAAGTCTTTAGAGTTTGGAGAATATAAAATCAACATGGGCCTTATGATTTATGAGCATTACACTCACCATTTTCTTCTCTGATAGAAGCATTCCAAAAAATTCCCTGACGTCCATCCTTGGATTTTGGAAAGGATATCGAGTAGAAACCCTTTTTTTGCGGCCAAAATTACTGGAGGATAATTTAGAAGAACCTGAAGACCAGATGCTTCAAATGAGTAGAAAGCCTTTTAACTATTAAAAAGATACTGAAGTACTTAAAAGCCTTCAACTAAATTTACCATCAGGGAATACTGTAACATCCTGCTTCAAAGGAGCAGAAAATCTGGTGATGCGAGGCTGTTTAAAGGAAGAAACGGTAACACGTGGTCCTAGCCTCCGTTTTCCACAGGCAAGTTGCCTATTGTTTGCATGAGTGGTAACCATGGTATTTGAAATTTCAACAGGAGTCTGACTTGATGAGTTTCCAAATGGATCAGCTTTTGAAGAGAAACCATTAAATGAAGCAGATGTAGTTGTGTCTGACACTTGTTTTTGGTCATTTAAAGGTGTCTGCTGACAACCAATGCTACTTTGCAAGCAATCAATTTGCTTTCCCACAGCATTGAACTTCGTTATCAAGTTACTTCCAGTGCCTATACTTAAAAACTTGGTTGAATACTCCATATGATCAGAAGATTCTGTGGGGGATGTGAACTTTTGACTCATACACTTACTCTTTGCCGTTGTATGATGGTACAAAGGAGTATGAGGATCATTTCCCTCACAATATGCAGTACAATCAGATTGACTCTCCTTTGAAAACGAGACGATTGCATTACCTGCATCCCCTTCATCAAATAAACCTCCAAGGTCAGGGTCACCAAGAAGACTCTTGGCTCGTTGAAGTGCATCATTAGAAACAGATATAGATCTTCCACCAGCAGTGAAAAATTTAATTGATCCTTTGTTGCAAGTGGAACCATATTTTTCAGGTTGAACGCGGTTTATTTCAGAGTAATTCTTTATCGTATCAGTACCACCAACTGGTTTAGAGTTGTTAATCAATGATGGACTTGAACGGGACAATGGACTTAAATGGGATCCCACTTTCATCATTCCGTAATTGATGACACCCATATCTAACTGTGCCTGAAATGAGCGATGCAGTTCATATGTTTCACCAACAGCACACAATTTCTTTGTTTGCTGAAGGCTTTGGGAATTACAATCAATGGCATGTTCTTTGATTCCCAGTAATGTCTTGGCTCTAGCGAGACCATTAGAAGATATATTGACCCTTTTCCCAGTGCCTGTTTTAAACAGAGAATTTGAGAAGTGGCTATCATCATCCATTGCATGCTCTTTGCCTGCAGAATATTAGTCCAGACCAGACCACAAAAAGGGAACACAAGTATCGGTCAAAATATAAATGCCATTCAAATTACATATTCAATGAGCACAGCTTTCCTCCAGTAGCTTGGAAAGAAGATCTTCAGAGAGTGGGACAGGTTTAGAAATGTTATTTTGTCTGCTTGGAAGGAAAGTACCCAGAACTTAACTGTTTTGAGCATTAAAATATTTTTTGGGTGATATTCCGCTTCAAAGAAACGTAAGGCAACGAGAAATCAATATATTTGTTCCCAGAACTAGATTCATAGCCAACCAGCAAGTGCAAGGATCCAAAAAAATTAAAATGCGGAGAGAAAAAGTATAAAAAAGAAAAATGAAAAATCGATGAGGTCCGCGTGAAAAATTTTAGATTATGCATAAGCCACAAGCATGTTAGTATTATATGACATTGGAAGAAACTTTGAGGATGAGATACCTGCACTAGCGTAAGCATCCTCACCAAGAACAGATGATGCTTTGGTAATGGAAGATTGATTTACGGAGACCAGTTTTCCCAGGCCAGTTCGAAACGTAGGAGTGCGCTTCACTCCTTCATTACGGTTCTCCGTAAGAACAGAACATCCTGTGGTGGACCAAAAACATTGGCTTGCATAAGATTAAAACAATTGTTCAATATGGGTGGGTTTTGTGGGTATAAGGATGGATTACCTTGAAGCAAAACATCAGACATGGAAGGAAGAGGAAAGCTTGAAGCATTCGACGCAGCATTTGGCTTGAAATGGGAATTCTCCCACAGGAAATGGTCGTCGGGGTCGGATAGCATCTGCCATGAAGACATGAGTGTGCTTTGCAATCAGGGCTTAGGGTTTCTGACTGTAGATCTTATATACATGTTTTAGCTGAGAATTCGGATCGTTATCACTTGTTCATCGCAAATACTTGCGGGATTGCTCAAAGGCGGGAAATGGTTTCGTCTGCTTTCAGAATCGCGGTAAAGTCCAAATTTTATTTTTAAAAGGTGTTCAAAAATCAAAATAATTCATTCCACGGGAATAAAGAGAAACTTTTTTCCAAAAATAAAAAGGAAATGGAGAGAAACGATAACCTGCCCTATGATATAAACAATATACTAAAAATTAAATTGATTATTAAACCAATTAAAACACTAATTTAAGGTCATTGATTCAATTAAAATCAGATTGATCATAATAAAATAATATAATTTAAATAAAAATATATTAATTCTCAATATATTTATCTATATCCAAGACTTAATATCTCATGCAATATAGATTAATAATTTTAACAACAATTAAGCACAATATTTCAAATATTTATCCTGACAATATTTCAATTATTAAATAGTTTAAAATTAATAATTATTAACATCAAAATCTTCATTAACTTGATAGTTCATGCTACCTAAAATGATAAGATCTATTCCGAAATAAAAAAGATTATAATAATATAAAATAAAAAATAATTGGTTCATAGGTAAATCAGTGCAAATGGGCTTTCAAAATGTGATATATTTGTTATAAATATTATATTATATTGTATTGTGTTACATGGATGTTCATAAACTCTCCCAAATCTTGACCTTTCATGTCCCACACTCCATAACCTCTCTAATAAATGGTTTTAGGAGTTTTTTTTCATGTTTATTACCCATAAAATCAAGGGTCACATGTTATATATTTATATGAATTAATCTTGTAATTTATATCTACTGTAACTCTTAGAAAAGGTTGGAGGATAACATCCTAAGTTTTAATCTAGGTTTAATTGTTAATTAAGAGTGAAATTAGTTAGTGAGTGGTTTTATTTGCTTAACTATGTTTTTGAAATACTCATGGATGATTGGGCAGCTCTAAGGTCAAGTTAGGAAGTCGTTGGGAGTAGATCAGGGTAAAGTCTTGAGGAAACAAAGAATATAACATATTAAATCATGCACCACTGCGCATAACACATTAAATCAAAATATAAGTTGTGAATTAGCATTTGAAGGCAAAGGAAAGTTTGGGAATTTGGAGAGTGTAACATTCTGAAATTTTTGAGACTCGAATTTAATTTAAAATAAAATATCTATAATTAAATTAAAATTAAGATTAATTTGATAAAGGTCCAAATTTCAAATTTTAGTAAGTAAAAGTTTGATTTTAATTTATTCTTAACTATGAGAAAAATTACCAAAGTTGTATATAACTTTTGTGCTATAACAAAAAAATTTAGGCCCTTCCTTATAATTTTTTCCAAATTGCTCATATTAGTATTTTTATTTATATAAAAGCAAGCAAAAACTAAATTAGGAAACAAAGAAAGGAAAGAAACAAAACACAAGAACAAGAAAGAAAAGAGAGCACGAGAGACTAAGAGAGAAGAGGAGGAGGAGAGAGGAAGAAGAGAGGGGATACGGGAGGCTTTGCGGCCATTGCGAGTTCGCATGCTGTATGTAAGCTTCCAACTTCATTTTCTCTTGGTTTTCTTGAGTTTTTGGAAGAGATAAATTTTGGATTTTGATCCCAAAGGCTTTGTTCTTATAAGCTTTCATTTTCTTGCATCCTTGGAAGGTTGTTTTGAGTTTTTATATGATGCTCTAATATTTTGAGTGGGCAATTGAATGAAAAAGGGAGTTTTTGGGCAAAAATCAAATCTCAAGGAATTGGGTTTTTTCTCTTCAATGATTTAAACTTATTGATTAGGTTATAATCATGATATTTAAAGCCAATGAGATTTAAATTAAGCTTTGATTTTCATTATAAGAGCTAATTGTGAAAATTGGTAGCATTAAGTGAAGGCTTTTGGTTGATTAAAAATTATACGGTTTGGAAATTGACTTAATAGTAGCTAATAAATGTTTTTGGTGGTTAAGTGGTATTGTGTGAATGGTTGTTTTAAAATTTAGACCATTATGATGGATTATGGTCCATTGACCCATGTCGTGTGGTATAGGTTTTAAGCTTTTTGCCATGAGAAATGATGTGGATCATTTATATGTTGTAGGGATTATTGGTGGAATTTGTTTGAAAGTTAAAGGACACGTCAAGTTTTATTTTTGTACAAGGGAAAATTTTTTGGTATAAAAGAGTTGAGGTAATAGGGAAACTTATATTTCTTATTAATTTGTTCAACTATTTTTAAATAAATATTAAGCTATTATGCATTACATATTTTAAATGATTAAATATAATTAATTGTGTTTTATAAGGACTCTATGAGGTACTTCTTGGATAATAGTGCATATATGTTTTCAATTTATTTAATAATAATGTTTTTATGAAAACAAAATTGTTTGCATGCATTGTACTTATATAAAATGGAAGTTGCACTTAAGAAAGTGTAACTAGGTTAGGTACCTTAGATAGGCTAAGGAACCACTTAAGAGAGCAATGACATATATTATACTACCTTGGAGTGTTAAAGTGGTCAATACTCAATAAAGGTAGATAAGAGTAAAAGGCATGATTTCGGTGAGAGTTCACCAATAAGGAGGTATAGAATTGTGATAGTCTATGGCATACTACCAGTACTCAGTGTTGCCTTTCATATTGTGGGCTTAATGCACTCAAGTGATTAGTGGATTAAGTGTTTGACACCTTTCAGTGGGAGAAGAATCCAACATATGAAATGTGAGGTTGAGTGCCTAGGCCAAGGTAGCCCTCATATGGAGAGTAAGTTGGGCTAGCTCTAGGAAGGAATTAACTTTGACTGCTCAAGATTCATGTTGAAGGGTCATGGGCGGCTCAGTGGATTCGATCATGTCATAGAATATGTTTTGTTCCTATAAAGCTACAAGTAGGTATAAGGTAAAGAGTATCACGGGGCATTTTGTTGGTCAAAAAAGGTCATACCGACCTATGTCATGCATTCATGCATTTTAAATGACTAAATTATGTTATATTTAATTTATTATTCATTTATTCAACTATGACTTACTTTGTAATAATAAATGCAAATTTCTCTGTTAATAAGACTGTGGTTATCTTATCCCTTTCTTTACAATATTTTCAGGTTCAGGCAAAGATCCAGTGGTGAGCTAGGAAAGAAGTAAAGCTAAAAGCTGTTTGTGGATTATAAAGAATTGCAACCCTTTTTCTTTAAGCAAATATATTATAATGTATTTAGGATTAGGTTGACAATAGGATGTAATTATATATATGTGTGTGTGAATAAGTGTGAATTGTATACCTTTATATGAAATTTTGTCTGTTTGTAGACTTGTGGCTCAAAAACTTAGTTATGGTGTGTGGTTTTGATAGATTCATTTGGTAGGCCAAGTTTTTATTATAAGAAAATGTTTATTTTAGTATGTATGTGAATATATGTGATCCTACAAGCAAATGCAAAGTGATTGTATTGCGACTGGTGTGCTATAGTAAAACATACTCCTTAGATAGAAAGAGTAGGTGTGTGGGCCCTACAAGGATTTTTGAGCTAAGTGAAAACATTTATCATGTGTATTCATATGTGTATATCGTGTTTGGAATGGTTTTTGGCCACTCTTGTGTGATTTGTCAATTTTAGGGGCTTAGGGTCTATTTTGAAAAATGGCACCCAAGTAATTAAATTTTAATATAAAGGGTTTTTCTATCATTTAAATGTTTTATTAGGCTGAGATTTGGACAAAGTATTTCTATAAGTTTGTAACCCTTAGGATGAGATTTAGACAATTTTGAAAATGGTTTTTACTAAAAAAATACACTTTTGCATCTTGGTGTCCAAATCTCAATCTAATTATTGGATTTCTCTAGAATTTGGGTCACAAGTAAAACTTTTTATAATCTTTGTGTGGACTTTAAAATTGCCTCGATTAGACATCGAATGGAGAAATGGTGCACTCCAAAAGTTAGTTCGGAGGTGGTGTCATGACAGTTATTTAATGCTGTTATGACAGTAACAGTTATTAAAGTTGCGACACATATGAATTTCAGTCCATCCATTGGATCTTTCCAAAACTTGATACACTAGTAGTACTCTTTGAATGTGACATGTGGGATCTAGAAGCACTCTAATCAGAGTTCAGATGATGAAATAGTCCACTTTGAAAGTTGGTTTGGAGGTGCTGTCATGACAATAAAAACGTCCAAACTTGTTGTGTCTAAATTTTAATCCAATTGTTGGATTTTATTTTTGAAATTTGGAACGCTACTAGTACTCAATAAAATAGACATGTTGAAACGTTCTCACTTCACTAAACATAATTAATAAATGAAACATATGGTAATCAAAGGATTAGCTCAAAGAGTGATTATCATGGTTTAATCTAAAAGTAAGGGATCCCAAGTTTCCTAAATAAAAATGAGTTAAAATCGATCAAAACCTTTCATATCAGAGTAATAATAAGTTTCAAAAGTATGGGATAACTTAGAGGAGTAAAAGAAGTCAAAAATGGTTGAAAAACAAAACATGGGCTGTGATACAGAGCAATGTGCCATGGCTCATGCACGCTGCACTACGACGTGTTGCTCTCTATGCCACGTACTGCGGCTTAAGCGCCATGCACCGTGGCGTGTTGCATAAAATTTTCATTGGTTTTGTTGTCATTTGATAACAGAATCGAGGAAAACTTTCGACTCGCCCCAATTCTCCGTTCGACGTCCGAATGACGTGATCTAGTTGTCTACGAAAAGCTCTTTACATGAACTAGCTAATGGCACAGGTTTTACTTCCAAAACAAGTCACACTAAGAAGTTGGACACCCAAACACATTTTAACCACTTTTTAACACCTTTACACAAGATAGGTGTCCAAAACCCTTGACAAGTGTCAAAAGCTTTTCCTAATATATGGACCATGTCCAATGGACCTAGGAATACCAGTACAATACGTCACAAGTACTGAAACATCATTATAATAAAAATTCACTTCTCAACCCCATTTTACCAAAAATAAAGGGGGAGGTAATTTTAGCATTGCATTTCACTCAAATCACTCAAAACATATTTAAATCTTCAT